GGGCCAGGCTGTAGAGACTGTTTGCTGGCACCCTCTGCCCTTGTGGGGCAAAAATCCAGGCTTCAGCAGCAGACTCTCCTGCCCCAGAGCCTCGCTGATTGAGCACCACACCTGTTACTGCCTTTAAATGAGTGCAGCTGGGTCAGCTGTAGCTTGGGAGCAGCCGGTGACCATGTGCTTGGGGCTGATACAAATGCTTTCTGGATCCAACCAGAGCTGCTACTTGAGGTAAGCGTGTCTTCACTAGAAGACCTTTGAGATTTAGTTACTCTACACTGCTCTTTAACCGTGGAAATGTTGGGTCCAAGTTCCTTTGCCAAGTGTAGCAGCTGTCTGCAGACACTGAGAGAAAACAGGAAGAGACTCCTTTAGTTGCCGGTTTTTCTGCTTGGGTGGGTTTCCATCCCCCATGCAACTCAATATAATTTGTCCCTGCAAATAAGGCACTGAAAATAAAAGGCACCTTGGAAAGGGCCAAAGGGAGCTTCCACCTTTTCCTACTGAAACTTGGCTCTCTAGACAGTATGGCAAGAAACCCGTCACCCTGCCATGCTGCCCCCTAAGAGCCCCTATTCCCCAGACCTTTTCTGCCTCTTCCAGATCACTCTGAAGAAGCTGCTGTAACATTGTGACTGTTTATGAGCACATTTGTGCAAGATTTTGCCCAAACTGGCAGAAAAGCGCCTGAAAACTCCTCTCCCTGCATCTGCAGACTGTATTAACCAAGGCCCTTTCTATGCAAATAGCCCAGGGGATACTACAGTGGTGTGGATATTTGGGATTCTGATAATCAGAGTTTAAGGCTGAAAATTTCAGAGCCTCCCAGTAGCTTAAAATGACTGCAAACTGGGCATCCAAATCTCTTGGGCAACGTTGAGACACTCAGCTGAAGGCTCTGCAGTTGGAATCTAAGAAAGCAAAACCTTCTGGCACCAGCAGGGCTGGAGTCCTTCCTGGGTTTGATGCCAGGAAATTCCAGATCTAATAGTTGCTGTAGTTTCCTTCACGGTGCTGGGGCCTGACTGCAGGACCTTCCCCTATGGCTGAGCCTTTGCATCTGTTCCCGTTCCCCCGTTACAAATGTGACTTGGGCAGCTGTGTTTCTGCAGCGGATATAAAGATCTACTGTAGCGTCCGTGCATAATTGGACGCTCGTCTATTAATAATACATGGAGAACTCGCCGTGCTAATATCACCTCCATTTGAGTGTTCTACTAAATATTTTGATAGATGAAATGGGTTGAGAATGTATTTAAATACTGTTTGCACTGCGGCACGGGTACAAAAGGGACGGTGCATCTTTAATTAGACAGGTACATCTGCTTAATTAATTTAGCTGTAAAGCCCTTTTTCCTCTCCATTCTTTCATCTATATGCGGATGCTATATTAGTTCCGCTCTGCTGGTTCCATAGAAACTGAGAAAAAGAGCTCATCTCATTGAAATGCACTTGGCATGTCTGTGCATGGAGTCTCAGGTCAGTGGTCAACCCCCAAGGGTTTGCAGCGGGCCTGAAGTGCAGATCGTAAGGGTTAGCAGAACATGCTAATACTCTTGTAGAACTCTCCCTCGGAAACAACTAAAACAATTGACATTCATTTAATTACTGTAAATGAAACAGCCCCTTGCATCACTTTGCATAGTAAAGCCTGTTAATACCAAAAAGGTTCAGTGGATGGGAGAAGGAATTAGGCCCTTATAATTGGAAGATGACGCTTCAAAACCAATTTGGAAGCGATGCTTGATTTTTATTAGCATTTGATTCTGACAAAAACAAACATTAAGCAGTGAGAAAAACAAGGTAAAGAGGAGAAGGTAGCGGCACAGCAGGGAAGGGACTTCACTTATTTTACAACACACACCGGGCTCTGAAATATCAGCCTTGTTTCCCTGGGTTGCATTCCTCAGATGCTTTGTGGAGAGGCCTGTTCAGAGGTGGTGGTGCACCCTGCATGTGCTTGGCTGCTAATGAGGTGGTTGCGTAGAAGAATGAGGTGGTCCAGTTGCTTTCCAAACTTCTGAGCACCTTCATCGCTTTGCTCGATAAGATAAAGGTGCCTGTCTGCGAGCACGGATCTTGTTCCTGTGTCTGCAGGGGAACCCCAGACCCCTCAGAAGGAATAACCTCCTAGAGAAACCGGTCTTTATCCTGATTATAGGGGTGTGAAATGCTGTTTCTGAAGTGCTGGGTGCTGGTATGGAACGTTAAGGTGAACAGGTAGGTATTTAGAAGATGCTGTTGAAACTCCAAGACTTAAAAGGAGGTGGGAAGGAGAAAGAGAAACTTCCAGGTTCCCCTCCTTCCTCTGAAGGCTGTTGTTGGGATGAGTCCTCCTTGCAGCTCTGTTGAGACAATAGATTCAGTCTTGAGACAGCTTCTTGCAACCCAGGCACACTTCCAACAGGTGCAGCTGGACATGGTTGGCATTGCGTAGGATCAAACTGGGGCCCTGACCTTAAACCGCTTATCTGTGCCTGCAAGTACTAGCAGAAGCAGAACCTGACATTGCAGTTTCCAAATCGGAGGTAACGATACCTTGTCAGGTCCTGAGCTAAGCAGAAATCCAGTTGTTAGCTAGTACTTGGGGCAGAGCCTGAGAGCAGGTGTCTTGCAACTAGACGCAGTTTGATAACTATTGACCTTAGAGCTTTCCTTAATTGGATATTAATTATGGGGGTTTTTTTTCCTCTCTTCTCCTTACAGACAGGTAGCTTAGGAGGGGAGGAGAGGAAAAATGCATCAGGTTATCTTATTCACGCATAGGTAAGGGATTCCTTGTTCGGTAGCCCTTCACGTCCCTTATAACCAAAGAACAGCACAACCAGGACTCGGGACTCTCTTCCTGTTCTCTCTGCTGTTGCTTTGTGTAGGCTTGGGTATGTCCCAGGATACTTTTTAATGCTCACTGCAACTGGGAGATGTTTGTCATGTACAAAGCCCTGGCTGATAGGCAGAGAGACGTATCTGTTAGACGTGTACTCAGACAGTCTGAAGACTAGGCGGTTCTTTCAACTTGCTATTAGTTGTGGGGGAAGAGTAGTTTGGGATTCTTCTCCACGGGTCGGATTCATCAGATTTCTGGTCGCGGTGCGGGAGCGTCTGTTTGTCTTGTGTTCACTTTGAACAAAGTTGAGGGCACTGGAGTTCATTGCATCACCTCATAAATGTGCGATAGCTACAGGGCAGGATGGTTTTGCTCTGGAAAACAAAGATAGCTCATGAAGAAGCTCATTGGTAAGAATAGCAGCAGCTACCCACACAACAAGGGGAACCTCTTTCCCACTGATCTCACAGGTGAGCAATGCAACCACGGGCCTGCAATCAGATGGAGTGGCAAGGATCCCTCTGGCTAAGCAATGACCATACATTTCTGGCATGATAAAACCAATGCCAGCAGCCTCAATTGTTTGTTGTTGGGTTTTGTTTCTTTTTACTTTGGGAGCCTGGCTGGGCACAGGGCTCCACTCGAGCAGATCCGATTACGGGAGCAGATACTTAGCCTAAGCACGGGTGATAGTGAGTGAGAAAATAAGATTACAGGCTTAGTGTCCTCTTTATAAGAAGTTGTGCATAATGAAACTTAAATCCTGGCTTTAACTACAACACCTCAATGCATCCCTGAACTACGGAGCTGCTAACAGAGCTAATATCCTCGCACCTGCATATCTGGAAGTGGATAGAGTGTCTTTCATTTACTACATCTAGAATTCTTAGTTCTTTATAAGCTTAACAAGTGTTTTCTGTTAGACTTTTCCCCACATAAGGGACCAAAACACCATCTCTCTACCTTTCAGCAACAGGAGAAGTAAACAGAAACCAGAGAGCAGATGAGTATCCTTCACATGCGAGCCACTTTCTAATTGGTTTTACAGCAGACTTGTCAACCTCAAAGGAGATATTTACTGAGTTAGGAGCAGGAGAGAGGGCCAGACTTGAAGGTGGCAGCATGAAGTTTTGTCTTTATTTATTTTTTTTATTGACATTCAAGCTATTCATTTATTTTAACTGATTGTCAAGCTGACAGAATGTAAAATGAGTCCAGTGGACTACAAAGCTGAAGCCTCCTCCATTTGCTAATATCCCTCCCCTCCCTGCAGTTCCACCATGCCACCTTGTGAAAGTTAAACCCTTATTTATATGTAAATAGAGGGAGACCAAGCTTGGCTATTCCCAGAAATGGTAGAGCAATCCACATCTAAGAGGCAAGACAGATCTAGAGGGAGGTACTTAAAAGGGAGAGGGACTTTTTGGTTCTGTTCAAAGCAAAGCTGTTAGTAGAAAGAGTTGGCATTAGGTGGCGAGGCAGTAAGGCCCTAGATTCCACCTCCAGTTGGTCTGATTTTGGAGAGCTGCAAGGGGCTTAGACAGCTACCGAACCTCCCGAAATGTTGGCAGCAACTTCAGTGAGAAGGGAGGGTATTCATTATCAGCACCAACCAAGCTCAGTCTGTGGAAAACCTGCGTGTTTATAAAGCAGTCCAGGAAATGTAGGTGAGCAAAAGATAAAGGTTGTTGCCAGAGCCAGTTATATTCTGGATGTTGCAAGGTCAGGCAGGCGTTTTTTCAAAGAATCTTCTTGTCTTCCCATCTTTCCTGCCCCCTAAGATACAAAGCAAGCATCCGCTGCTTTTGCAGATATTAAACATGACCAGCTATCAGGCAAGAGCCAAAGTCTTCAGAGTTAGGCTTTGAATTTATGGGAAGCTAAATGAAATGGGAATGTGTACAGATTACATGGCTGATTTTTCTGAATACTCTCAAAAATTCAGGGTATAGGTTGTAGCCATGTTGGTCTAAGGACATAGGCAGACAAGGTTCTTTGGGGAAATCCAATATTTATTTTTTATTAGATTTGAGTTGGTCTAATAAAACATGATATCAGATTTCCCCAAAGAACCTTGTCTGCCTAAAAAATCCGAGGCATTTACAAGACTTCCCCATATACCCGCGGCTGTTTTGAGCCGGTGCCCTGAAAGACTAAAAACAATCTTTTGCTACGGAATGTTACTTGGTAGTTGGATTGTGCTTGGATTTTCTGTCCTTACGATTGCACTCTGTTGCACCTAAACTGTAGTGCAAGAATGGTCCTGCTACTCAGCAGAACCAGGCAACAGGCCACTACATTTGAAAACTTTAGTCCCTTAACCTTAAGCAGATAGGCGGCCAGTGAGGAATAAAATCCTTGATACAGGGGAGTGTTGCCTTCATGTACTAACTGTACAGACAAACTCCTTCGGAAAGAACTGAGCATCTGGCCAGGTTCTTGGCCTAGTAATTCGCCCTTCTCACATCCTTTGTAACGAGCAAGATCTTTCACGTATTGTAAATTAACCTTGTTTTGGGGCTGGTTTGGTTTTTACACTCCTGCTCTTGCAGAGCTCCCAGAGTTGCTGTGTCTCCTTAAAAAAAAAAAATACCTGCCCACATAGTAGTGGAAAGGCAAGGATGATGCTGGCACATGGCGAAGCCTCATTCCAGAGAACTGTGGGCTTTAAACTTCCTCCCACTCTTTTTGGCGGCCCATGCTCCTTTCCCCAGTCTCCCCCCTTGCCACACACAGGCAATATGAGAAGGACTTGTATTTATTGATTTATTTATTTAGAATTAAAAAAGGGGAGTAGGATTACAATGCTACTGTCGCAGTATACAAAACACATTATCCAAGTTTGCTTCACGTTTACAAAAACCGCCATATATACAGCATCAATATTCACAGCAACTTTGTCAGACCCTCCCACCAACCAAATCTGAAATGTGTGGGAAATCTGGGAACGGAAGGGATTTAAAAAACCCACCAAAACAAATGCCCTTCCATTCAGCCTGGCAGCCGAGTGGCCTCCCAGGGAAAACCTTCCCAGCCCAAAAAGCTAGTTCAAAAAGGCCTCGGGCATATGAAGATTAGATTGCCAGATTAATTCAAATACCAACTCACTGAAGCCTTCCACTGGATGGCTCTTGACTCCTCTCTAGGGCTGGCTACCTGGCAATAGTGTTAAATAAAAATGGCCCAGGGTTAATGTGACCCCATGTCATCACCTCCAAGTGACAGCAGTGCTTTAGTCTCTTATAATTCAGAAACTCCCAATTCCAGTATTTATGTTCTGGATTATCCCACTGAAGTCTAAGATAACATAGAGAAATCCTTCACTTCCAGCCCTGGTTGGTAGTGTAATCCACACTAGTAAATGTGTGCCATGAACGTCCTCGAGGGTGGCTGCATTGCAACAATGAAAGCAACTCCCTTTTTGCACAGAATCGGGAGTGACGCAGTGAGCTCGCATGTGTCAGATTCAATGCAGCAGGGGTTTCAGAGCTTTGGAAAAGTAAAATTTGGCATCACAGTAAAAAATAGTGAAAAGCCCCATGTCTCCTTTCTTTCTTTTTTTCCCCAGAAAACAGGATCAATTTTCAATCTCTCACGGAGGGTCTGGGAACATCTCCTGTGTAAAAATAATCACACATTTTGTACAGTTGAAAGCTGAACACAGATTAGGATTAGTACAGGTTGCGGCTGTAGTTGTAATGAAGATATACATGTGTGGCCCTTTGCTAGAGTTAAATGCAGATGCTATGCTGGAGTACACTGCTGTATGATTAAAGAAAGGAACTAGCCTGGGTTGTATTTGCTCTTTCCACTTGACTCTGGCATCCTAAATGGAGCTTGAGTTTTTCCTCACCAGTGCTGAAGTGGGGCCTCCCATTTTACCTAAAAACCAGGACAAGATTCCCCACTGAAAATTTTACTACGGCAGCTGTAAACTTATCTCTGCCTAGAGCTGCACCCCATCAGCTACATCAGCCTTCAAGCTGGTCCGACTGAAAACACTTGATCCTGTGCATTTGTATCAGATCTGAGATGCCATACAATGGAGTGACTGCAGGGGGAGAGCCAACAACAGGAGCTACCCTGTAGTTAATTATAATTAACTACAAATCTATTTTACTTCCAAAATATTTAGGTTCCGTCTCTGACTTCCACCTTTTGGAAGGATAAAAAGGATGGGCACTCCCGATTCCCAGCCCCAGCTGCAAAATAAATAAATAAATACATAAAAATATAGGTCTTAGCTGTAAGACAGCTAACCCCCCGCCTTTCTCCATTTTCTACTCTCTGGAAAGCACCTGATCTGAGAGAAATGTAGTTAGCTGTGTTAATCTGAAGACCAGTAGAAGGCAGGGTAGATTTGCACCTCATAGACTAAGTGAAGTAGATACATAGCACCAGCTTACAAAAGCTCATGCTATATAGAGTAACCAGTGTGTGTGCGTGTAAAATATATGGTGCAAGTCTACCCTAACATCTGAACTAAGCCAGAGGTAGCTCCCAGAATGAAGGGGCAACTGAAACTCTGAATGAAGACAGTGAAAGCCAGTAGATAAAACACAAAGTAGTTACCGCTGCTCAATTTGGAATAGCAGAGCTGAGGTATTGCCTCTTCATGTGCCTGGCTGCTCCATGAAGAGAAGGTAGGATAGTGAAAGTAAAGAGAGGATGCCAACTCTATAGCCAATCATGGACAAGATGTGGTTACTTCTGTATGCCTTATACGCAGGGAATTTTGTCTGAGCCTCTTCTTAAAAAGGAAAAAGTGCTTTTTAAATATTTACATTTGGGCAGTATCATTTTCCCCACTTGTATTCCTAAGGAAGAGATGGCAAACTTTCCTTGACCGCTCTACCAAGGCTACATAGTAGGGGGGCTGGGCAGCTGAAGCTGTCATGAAGTTGTACCTACAGTTAAATTCCAGTTTGCCAAAATACAGATGCGGACCTATCGGATCCAGTGACAAGGGAAGGGCTGTGTTTTGGATATTAATCTCTTGTGCCAACCAACTCCCTGTGATATGAAGAATAATTGCACAAAACTGATATGAAAGTTTGTTTTAAGGTTTAAAAAAAAAATAGGCATGTCAACCTTCTGCTGGAACTATCAACGTTTCCATTGTATTCTCTCCTGTCAAGGACTCCTTATGCTCAGTGTGTTATCATTTTCTTTCATTACAACTAAAGTTATTCTGATACTTAAATCACTGGGGAAATTCTTAGTTTGAGAAACACAAGGAAATATTTATTGGATGTGCCTTAGTAGTAACCATTAATCTCTCTCCTCTAGAAACAAAGCAAGGGATACACTTGCCTTATGGAAGGGACACAAAATCGGGCTCCTTTTGAAATACTGGGGTTTAAGTGCCATGGTTTCTAAATTAGGAGCCCTCCCATATTAAGTCCTCACCTCCTGGCTGAGGCTGGGCTGGGCTATGAGTGAGTTTCACTGCACCCGCATCCAAAAGCCCAGGCTCAGGAGGGAAGGCTGGGACCCCCATGGGCCAGTCAGCGCCACTCTGTGCTTTCCCCACAGCACAAGGGAGGCTGCTTTGGCAGCCAACAAAGAGGCTTACACCAAGTTACTGCACATCTGGAGCTGCTGTGCCTGCAGAAGCTGTTCTGCTAATCCACATGGCAGCTTGCATTTCTCTTCTCACTCCCTCAATTCTCCTGCTTGCCTTACCCCAGTATGAATATATTATTCTGTTTCATCAGTCTTGTATACTATTCCAATGCAGAGTCATTTCTAGTGCACATTAAACTGGCAGAACATAAAAGAATACCTGAAACTACTGGCAGAGGGAGGCTTGGAAAAAAGCTATGCTAGCAAACATTAGCTGCTTCAGCTGTTGCAGCGACCTTCAGTGAAAACACAAAGGTGTTGGGATTCATACCAACCACGCAAGATTAGGGTCATGGATAGACCTCAGCATGTGTATCAGCTTTTCTAAATGGTGTAAGAAACTGTTTCTTGTCAAGGATAACGACAAGTTAAATTGAGTAGAGAATAGGGATCATCTGCAGCTAATGATCCCTAAATGGAGAGTAGACGGCTTGAACTCAGCCTTTGTCATCACCTCTAGTGTATTTTCAAGTTAGTACAACAGCAGCAGCTCAGTTTCTCTCCCAGCCCTGAAATGTTAAACTTCACTTGACACTGAGTTTCCCACAAAACATAATGCATTCAGTACCAATCTCAGAGTGTACCTTCATACAACAGCAGCCTAGTTTAAGAAGTTAAATTCCAAGGAAGAAAGGACCTAGACCTGTGTTTTGTAGGCACTGACATCCATTGTTTTGGTCTGGGGTGGGTGGTGACTGGGGCTTCCAAGAAAGCAGGGTGGTGGGGGAAGGAAACAGTTGCAGGGAAAACTTCAATTTTCCATGTCCCCTGCAACCTGTCTCAGTCTCTCTGGGGCAGCTGCAGCCTGCCCTTGAGGATTAACATCACTATGGGACCCAGATGCTAGTCTCTATGTTCCTAGTACCATGGTGTTTAACTAGTGGGCACTTCTGTAAACCCAGTTGGGCCACAAGGATAGGTACAAATGTTTGTGGAGAACCCACGATAAAAAAAGTGCCTTGCTGAGCTGCTGCAAAGCTCCATGCAAGCTACCGGTACTTCCCACATGGGGTTCAGCGTAGCTGCCTTACTGCAGCATTGCAGGCAGGCTACCTGGCTCTGCTGAGATGCTGCTAGTTAGCCTGGGTCCAGCACCGGCTTCCAGGCTGGGGAGGTAACCTGTACAGAGCTAACTTGGGTGATGCTGACTTGAGCCAACACTGATAATGCTGTGCAATTACCCTCACCAGCTCTGCACCTCCTTGCTCCTTAAGAAAAAGCTATGGAGTCACATTCAGGTGGTGCTAAGCCTGGCTTAACTTACTGCCCTGCTTTGCTTCTGATTTCTGGAGGTCACGTGCTGTGGGCTCAAAAAGGTTAAGAACCGCTGTTCAAGTGAGTCGGGTCGAAGCAGCAGTTAAGAGTCCACCTCTGCTGGTAACCACATCCAGATTACAGCACAGCGGAGACCTGCCCTGATTTCACACTTGCAGAACATGCTCTGCTGTGTATATCCGCTTTCATCACAGGAGGGTTCCAGAGCAATCCTCTGAGGTGACGCGTACCAAAGCAAAGCTGCACAGCAAGAGCAGCAAGCCACACAGTGCTCACTCTGCATTTGCTGCAGGTCAACAGAAAAATCTTCCTGTGGATAAGGAGATGTCCCTAAGTCTCTCCCAAAAACCCAAACTACTCTGGTCTCCTTCATAGACATTAGGGCTGGAAGGGACCTCGGAAGATCATCTTCAGACCAGTGCAGACTCCTAGGGAAAGGTCAAGACGAAGCTAGATTCTGAACTTCTGGGCAAAATTTCAGTCAGCTTCCCCCATAGTCTGAGCATCTGTTATTCTAGAAAGACTGTCATGACTACAGGTGCTGTTGTCATATGTAATTTGGAAGTAGCAAACAAGAGTAAGGTGCATTAGCCTTCCTGTACGATTACTGCATCAAATGCATTACTATTTTTCTTCCTCACTGGTATAAGAAAGGAAACCTAATTAGTACCTTGGGTATGGCAAACTGAAGATGGCTATAGGATATTGCACCCTTTTGGGTTAGTGCAAGAATTTCATCTCTTGTACTTGTGTTCAGGCCTGTCTTCCACTACGTATTTTAAGCTAAGACCCTACTCCACTGCCCGCATCTACAGAACAGCAGCTTAGGGCGCTGGTACAGTCTCCTCAGGCTTTCCACTCCTTAAAGTAGTAAGACGAACCCCAGTCTTAGAACAGATATCGCTTGACAGGTGCAAGCTGTGTTGCTGGAGAAAGCAGCCTGAGGAGGACAATGGGTCTAGAGAGAGATGGGAAAATCCAGCAAGACCAAACCACAGCCTAAATTAGCCTTGTCTGAAACTTTGCCCTATTTTTCAAATTGGATAAAATTATAAAAGAGCATGCAAAAATGATGGCTTTATACCCCAATACCTTTTGACTGGCCAAACACAGCACAAAAGGAGCTAACATGCCACCATCCCTATTGCCTTAATATACAACCAACCTTGTTGACTGTCATTTGAGTGTCCATTACCTTGATAGCTTAGTCTCGGTAGCTTTCAATGCTGAAAACAGCCTGGAATGCTAGCTTCTACATGGAACTGTCTGAAAGAACAACTGCCATAAAGTGTTATAGTAGACCTGAAGTAAGACTAATTAGAATGTGATCATGTAGTACCTTCTCATTTGCCAGACCTAGTATGTTTTGGTGGACCAGTACATGGATCAAAGATTTAATACATCTCCAGCCTGCCATCCAAGTTGGACTTTGAAGCATCTTTGGAAAACTTCCTTAACCCTTTCCCTTGTTGAGGTCCCTTTGAAAGAGCAAGAGAACACTCACTGGCCATTAAGTCAGGTTGGCTTTTACAAGACTGTACACACTGTGTTTTGCAAAATCACTCTGCCCTGCCCAGCCTGGAACATGACTGCATCCAATTTGAGTCCAAGCCGATGCATACGCTCTCCCTCACAGAGAGGAACCCTACAGCTGCCATAGCTGCTGTACCAGCCTCAGTGACAAGGTTAGGTGCCAGGCAATCCTGACCATTCCACCTGGCTCTGATTCAAATGTCTTGCTTTGCCAAGTGCCTGCCACTGGGATCTACAAATTCTTTTTGTGACAATAGCATGAAAGCGAGTTCAGTCTAATGCACAATGATACAAAGCTCCAAATATTTCTTTTCCTAGAAAGATGGTCTCACTTCCAGGGATATTTACAAACAAGGCTATGGTGATTTTTTTACAAATGCATCTGTGCTTTATCATTTTCATCTCTGGTACAATATTAGAACTATTGTCTATTGTAGAAGCACTATCATGCCCTATGTATGAAGTACTGAACTCTAAGAGCAGCTAGTCTGTCTGAACATTAGCGGAGTAATGTCTGTTCCTAATGAGGGGTCAAGGAGTGTGAAGACAATATGCATAGCCAGTAACTGAAGGAAACTTAAGCACCCATTTATATACGTATTGGATACCATCTTGATTATTCCTTGCTGTTTTCAATTGCTTATGGAAGCATTCATGCATCTGGTCAGAAGTCGGGACTTCCATAAAGGGTTTTCAGTTGCCTTTTTATATGTGGGGAGCATCCAGTGAGCTGGCATCTTTAAGGAGGAAGTGAAGATCTATACAGAAGTTTGGATTACTGGGGGGGATGGTTCTTAACCAAACCAGATCGAACCTATCTCTAGAGTCATACTCATATTGGAAACCTCATGCCTCTAGCACTGCAGAAGTTAAAAAGGAAAGTTGCCCTGTATGAACTGGGTCCCAATGATACAAAGGCCACTTTTCCCATGAGAGAGCAACCGTGTTAACCACAGGTTCAAGCATGTTCCTTCACAGGCATGCTGCTGGCTGCCTTAGGTAATCACTCATCCATCCCCTGACTTAGAATGAACAGTCTCTGACTCCTGACAAAGCTTTCAGTGTGGCAGTCAGTTTTCCTTTTGAGTTAGTGCTTTCATGAGGAGAACAGCTGACCAGTAAAAGTGACTGCTTGCTTGCACACTAAGTTATTGCAATGTTTTTGAGGACACTCACAGTCCAGTTGGAAGAAGAAACAGCCTGGTTGCTTGGTCACAATGAAGGAGAGTGTGGTTCCAACAGGCAGAGGGTGAAGTTAACTGAAAGGCATAGATGTTGGCACAAAATTGGTAAACTAGAAATGAGAGAGGAAGTGGTGGGGACAGGAGATTTAAGAGCACTGGATATTCTACAGTTTAGGTTTGTGTCTTATTACACAGAATAGAGAAGTGCTAATACAGTTTACATAACTATTAGCATGTAAAACTTCCTGGAATGTATTTGGCACTAACAGCCAATTTCAGCTTGTTAACTGCAAATACCTGAAAACTATTCTAGGAAAGACACTGGGAACTCTTTTGGTAGATATGCAGCAAGACACCTAATGGAATGGCTGACTTAAGTGGCATGCACATCACTCAACAAGAAATGTATTAGAACCACGCGTTCTTTCTGAAAGTTTAATATTTGGTGGTACGGTAAGTGCCACTGCTCATTAAGAGCAAACAAAGAGGCACTGCAGGCTGAAGCCTTCTCTACCCACCAAGGCTTTAGTAAGCACCTCCAGCACTCCACATGCCAGGAGGAAAACATCTGGTTTCCACACAGATGGGGTAGGTCAGACTGCACGCTTACAATATTTCAGACCTCTTTCAGTGAAAGGAAAGGTGCCCAATCAAGTGCTGATGCTGCAACGGGAGCTCTGGTCATCTCAAAATTGCTTTGTCAAACCCCTGTGGTGCCAGACACTCCCTAGAAGATGTACTCCTGCTTCTGGAGTATGAAATAGGGCTCTGGACTGTGAGCTGCTTGGCCTTCCAATGTCCTATTTACAGGGTTAAGGAGAATGTCTTTTTCCCCTCCAGCAGTGTGCGTGCTCCCAGTCCTTTTTCTCCTTCCAGACTGAAGGGAGTGTTACGCAGCAGAGAAAATGCCTTCTCAAGCTTCCCACAGCTGTTGTCTAGAACACAGGAGAATCACAGAAAGTACAAGGTCCTTGCAATAACCTCTTGATCCACTCAGGGTCTGTAAATAAGAAAAGCAGTAGTTTTAAAAGCATGAGTTGGAGGAAAGATAATCCAGCAATTTAGATGAAAATACTTGGCTTGATGTCACTTCACTGAACAAAATAAGAAATCCCGGGAAGCTAAGCTCTGACAGATATCTCTCACAAGTACTTGAAGGATCAGAATGAAGGGTATGCTCCACTAATTTGTGAAACTTAAAACAATGCTAGTTTAAAGTTCATGTCTGCAGGAGGCAAAGTTCAGGCTAAAGCTGTCTCCACAGCACCAGCACCTATCTAGCTGCACACTGTGGACAGACACATCAGCTATGCATGTGCAGCATGGGAAACATTTAAAGGATGATCCTATCATAATTTAAGTGTTTTTTGTTTCTTTAGGCTGAAGTTTTAAATCTGACCTACTGCAGCATGTGGCTTGTGTTTCCTTTTACTTCTAGGGTAGAAAACAAACAAAAAAGAACTAAGCAACCAGCAACACTTCTCCAGAACTGTATTATCTGTATTAGATCACATCTCACTAGAAACTGGAAACTCTCCAGACTTGTGGGAAGGGAGTACTTAGCCCTTTAAGAGTGCAATAGTTGTGCAGAAAAGTGCATTCGTAAAACAGGCAAAAAAATCATATCCTTCCTAAAGGACAGTGCTGCTAAATGCTCAGTTCACTGCATCTTTAAAAAAATATTTCAGCCTCCTATCCTGTAAATGCTTTTTAAACTGGTAATAGAACATATCAAATTTTTTGTTTTTTAAAGAGTCATCTGGGACCACAATTCAAGCTAAGCATGCAGCTTAAGCTAAGCATGAAGGTCAAAACCCAGGCCTGAAGGTGTCTGGGTTCTAACAACATGCTGTTGAAGTATTTATCTTGCTCAGCAGAAGAGTATGAAAGCACAAAATCAAAAAGTTGATTTGTTCCTTCCCTCTGCTACACCACTTAGGCAAGACAGTTCATGACCATTCACCATCTCATCCTGCACTAGGCTGAGTGACTTTCCATTGAAATCAACAGGAGTCAAGGACACAGCATCTGTAAGACTGGACAAGCAATTTGTGCACGCACAGAAATCAGATTATATTAGTACTAATCAGCTGTCTGCTGTAACACTCCAGCACAGACTGCATGTGTACTTGGCTCATATTTAAAGTGCAATATGTACTTACACATCACTTTTCCCAATTACCATATTCTAATTAAACTGTGCAAACGAGGCATAATCTACAATGGAGCACCATAAAGAGCTGAACATTTCTACTGCATTTGATAACTCCCCGAAATAACAGCAAGCTGCTGAACATAATCTATGCCTTTACAGAGCCAGAACATGCTATCTTGTCTTGCCCTTTCAAGCCACGGAAGTAGCTCACCTTCTGGGGTTGGATGTCGTGCAATGCTGTCATGAAGCAAACACCTTCTGTATACCAAACTCTGGCAGGACTGGTAGGTTAAAAAGCACCTGAAAAGGTGGCAGATTGCATCATCAAAACTGAGTTCCCACTTGTATGCTTTATGACAGAGGGCTGAATTCTGCTCGGTTAATGCCCATGCTGCTGGGGAGCTGGGGGAGTAAAGGCAGCATTTGGGCCAATCCTGCTGATTACCTGTTCCTAGTAAAGTCAGCAGTTCTTCAAAATGAGTTAACATTCAATATAAAAGGCACATATGTAACTGTACCGAGCTGGCTTAGGAAGGCTGCCCTGAATTTGAGTGCCTTATAATACACACATGCAGATGCCTATAACAGTAAATTTTAAAGCATAAATGTTGAGAGATGCCTGGAATGCTTCATTACTGGCTTTACAATTTTAGCCAACAGACAAGCTGGAGAGAAGTTTTGAGGGATAATGTTTCCCTCCCCACTTTCTTTGCATTGTGGGGGAGGAGTGACAGTGGGAAAACTAAGAGCATTGGAGCATTTTTTTTTCCCTTTAAAAAAAAAAATAAAAAAAAAAAAAAAAAATCAAATTTTGGCCTACCTCTGTCAAATATCCCTTAGTTCACCCCTTAAAAGTATCTGGTACATTCTCCTTTGCCCTGACTGCTCTGCTGTCTTGTCTTCACTGTGACATGCACAGCATGTTTCATGGCTCTTACTCTTTCACGCTACAAGAACGTATTTCTCTTGCTACTTGCATGCCTTCTACTCATTCAAAAGAACAGATTACCTGAGCCAAATATGTCCATTGGAGCAGACTGCCTGCTTGCGATCTGTGAATGGCAGGATCTCTTTACACAAGCTGCAGTGCTCTGGGAAAGTCTGTTTGTTCATTTTCTTTAAGATATGCCCAATCAGCACCTGGGAACACACAGCAGTCAGCATCGTTTATAGCAAGACGGCTGCCGCTGAAAGGTGGAAACATCTCATAGGATATTATGATTTCAGAAAAAAACATGCAGAACTTTAGGCATCTAACTGGATTCAAATGAAAAAAGCAATGGAATGATTAGTCTTTCCACACATTCATCATGGATCTAACTGCCTTAAAGCCTTGCGGTGCTGGAAGGAACACAGGCTTTGTTTAAAAGTAACCAGTAGTCTGGGTAATTAGGCTGTCTGAAAAGGGAAACTGAACTTGGGATCGGTGTACTACATCATCCTAGAGAACATCAAATGCCATATGCAAAAGGGATTTTTTTTTAAATAATCTTATGCCTTTAAGAATAGAGGTGTTTAAAATCCCATTTATTATTTAGAAGTCTGACAATTTTATTTTAGCAATGACTTTATCTCTAAAAAATATGTAGCCATTCTGTTAAACTTAAAACACATGGGTTAAATTTATGACCACATCACTCTTTACCTTTGACATAGTGCATGATATAAATCATAGGCCATGGTTTTATACTGAATATCTTAGGCAGTGACAGCAGTTGTGATTAACAGAGGTTTATATAAACTGTATTCAAGAGTCATGCTTTACCCACTGCAAAAAGAAATGATAGTCTGTGTACGAGGTGTGAAGGGCAACTGCTCAGGCTTTTCCAATGCGCAGCACTTCAGAACACAGTTGTGAGATGGTAATTCTTTGGCAACGTATTAAAGGCCACAAGGCTGCAGCCTGCTTGCCTACAGGCCTGGCATTGAAAAGCTCAGTTTCTGTAACGGAAGCTACCTTGGCTTCTCCAAAAGCAGTTTAAGGGTTGATTGGTCAGTTTGTTTACTTCGAGAGGCTAAATGACGCAAGGATTCAGTTACTGCAGAAATACGGCATAGCCTCTCTATGCACAGCTGTACGGATCATAACCGACAGTTCTTGGGATTACTGAGTTGGGTGTTGCTCTTGCTGGGGCAAGGATTGTGTTTGCTGTGCAACATTAATGTCAAATGATGGGGTTTCTTTTACACATTAGGAAGGGATATGTTGGGAGGCTCAGGCAGTGAGTACTGTTTCAAAAATGCAAATTGTCTCTCAAACTGAGCAGCGACTATTACCAGTAAGAAGTGTGTTACATTTTCAAGAGCTATTGACAGAAATTCTGAAGAATTAGAACTGCAAGGCTCAACTGCCTCTCGTTTGGAGGAAATTCCTCCTCCTTTTTTGGTTTACAGACACTATTTAATAATATCTTTACCCATATGGTCTTTCCATCATTAACAAATAGCAATAGATTTCCACACCCCCACCCCAAACCTTGAAGAAATTTTAAGCAAGGCTTACTTTACTCTGCCTGATCCCAAACTCCAAGGTCTGTACTGTCATCCCACCCATCATGCTAAACTGGAAGGGCAGACAACTTATCTCCCTGGCTCATCTCTCTTGCTGAGCTGCTTCTTATTTCAACCCTTTATCCTCCACCCCTTAAGTTTAAAAATGAACAAAAACAGTGAGCTGGGGGGGGGGGGGGGG